GTCAGGGGTGGCTTTCCAGTGTTCTCACATTCTCATGTATGTTGTGATTGATGTGGATGTCAGGGGTGGCTTTCCAGCATTCTAGGTTTCTCTTACACGGACACCCAAGACTAGTGTGCCAGCTCCTGAAGCAGCCAGTCAAGGAGGTTTTGCCTCCAGCCTGCAGCCTCGGTCTTCCGGGAATGGTCAGTGTGGCCTCCAGCATTTGGATTTCCTCCTTGGGCTGTAGCTGTGAGCAGGTGGAGAAGAGATTTATCACAGATGATTTCTGCAATCCATTTATTTTTCTTGTCTTTGCCTCTCCCGGTAACATCAAGCGTCACCTTACAAAGAAGGGAAATTACAGGGCAGCCTGAAGAATCGGGTGTGTGTGTGTGTGTGTGTGTGTGTGTGTGTGTGTGTGTGTGTGTGTGTGTGCATGTGTAGACGAGAGATTAGCCCTGGGTATTACTTCTCAGGCACTGTCCATCTTGAATTTAGAGACAGGCGTTCTCACTAGCCTGCAATTCATCATTTAGGCTAGGCTGGTTTACCGAGAACTCCAGGAATTTGCCCATCTCGGCGTACTGAAAGCTGGGGTTATAAACACACCACCGTGTCTGGGAACAAACTCTGGTTCTTCTCCTGAACAGTGAGCACGTTACCAACAGAGCCATCCCCCAGCTCACATAGAGTCTCTTGATTGGGAGGTTCTAGAATCTGCTTGCTTGGGCTACAGTTCTGTTTCTGCTGACTAACTGGTGGTGAGATCTTGGGCAGTTACCTCATCTACAGAATGAAGATGCTGACCTCATTTTTCTAGGTTATTGTGTGTAAAATATATACAGTTTTTACATTGTTGAAAACAGTTCTTGGCGCTGTGATTATTAAAGGCGTCACGGAATGAACAAAGCTGAAATGATGAGCGGGGTTAATAAGTGGGAAGATACAGGGAAATACACTACGAGTTGATTTTTATCTGGGACACATGGTTTTGAGCCTTGTCAATGACACATGTAACATAGGTAGGATCCTTGTCATTTCTTCCTCTTGAGAATGGCATCTGTTGAAGTACGGACAGTGACATTACATTTTAATCTTCTCAGTGACCCCATGAATTTTTATTATCCTTAATGGATCCTGAGAGGCGACTGGCCTTTAGGGAAACCAAGTAGCATTGAAAAGCAACAGATGTGGCGAGCAGCAGAGCCTTGCGCAAGCCAGCCAGTCTGCATTGAGTTCAGTAACTCAGTGAGGCCATGTAAAGTACGGTTGGTCGGTCTCCTCCTCCCTTCCTGCCGGTTCAGTAGACTTTTAAAGCTGAGGACGATTGGGTATTCTCTTGCTGGTCAGGGCCTGAAGCTTCAAGTCGGAGCAGCATCAGAGATTGTTAATCTCCTTTTTCCATTTCTCTTTTAGATATCAGTTTTTCTTACAGGTGAAGCAAGATGCCCTTCAGGGCCGGCTGCCCTGTCCTGTCAACATTGCTGCTCAGCTGGGAGCATATGCCATCCAAGGTAGGTTCCGCTTAAGTATATTTGCTTCAGGAATGCTTGGAGAAAATATTTGAATTTTTATTTGTATGTGAGTTTATTTCCTGAGAACATTTCAGATTCAATGTAGGGAATATGAGATAGCCTGGTCTTTGTTCTTGAGACACTAGTAGACTAGACATTATATAGAATAAATATCCCAGGCAGAATGTCAACTAGACTAATTGAGTTGACCTTAGAAGAACGATTATTACAGGAAGAAGTTGATCAGAACTTTCTGGGTTTTTTTCCTCCTGCTTCTTTGCGCTAAGGGTGGCAGGACAGCCCAGTCCTGTAGAGTGTTCTGGAAGCATCCCATACAGCATGATTGCTTGAAGGCCATGCTTGCTCTTGGTTTCATTGTCTGAGAGGATATATTGGGATCATCTCTAGTGCTCCTAGAATACATACCCTAAACTCTAGTAGCTATATGACATAAAATGTTCATATTCATTTTATTTCATCTATACTGATAAGAGTAATTGAAATAAAATGATGATAGACTCTGTGGGAAAGCAAAAACATAGACTTTTATCTTCTAAATCCTAATTTGTTTATACCATACACATATCTTTGGCGAAGTTTTTTTTTAGTAATGTTTTAGAAAAGTTATTTAGTAGTTAGCTACATCAATAAATCAACAAGGCATTTGAAGAAAAATGTTTAAGCGTGATAGAAAAATTCCATTCCTTTATTTTTTTAGGAGCATTTTCCTAAAATACCCTTACCTGTAATAGTTAAGAAAAAAAAAAACTATATGAATAAAATTACATTGTGTCTTCCAGCCGAACTTGGAGATCACGATCCATGTAAGCATACTGCAGGGTATGTGTCGGAGTACCGGTTCGTTCCTGACCAGAAGGAAGAGCTGGAAGAAGCCATCGAAAGGATCCATAAGACTCTAATGTAGGATCATGCTTTTTGTTGTATCAGCCATCATCATTGTTGGCTAAGACAGTCATAATGTGTTTCCAGTGATAAATTCCTGTGCTCTGGATGCTGGTTTTCTTTGCATCTTTTATAACAATAAATGCTCATTGAAAACTCCAGCTATCTAAATAAAATAAAGGTGGCAGTACACCCAGTACCCAAAGACACCACAGTTTTGGTTGTGACCTTTGACCTCTCTATATAATTTCCATAGAGAACATTGATTTTGTACAGATTTATGTATTGTGATTTTTACTTAAGTAGAGTCATTCTCTAAGAGCTGGGTTTTGTAGTTTTTTTTTTTTTTTTTTTTTAATGCTAAATACCGTTTATTGAAGGAGGGAGGAGGTCTTGAATACAGGCTTACAGCACAATGGGAGAACTCTGGAGGGCAGAAGTTCGCTACAGATGTTTTACAATCTTGCATCTAAGCTGTTAAGGCCCATTAAGCAGGATACACAGACAAGGAACTTCCCTTACGCATTCAGGACGTTTTGTAATTTCCCCCCCATCACTACTTTTGTGAAATCCTACTTATATGGAAATAAGTAAACGTGCCTTTGTGTCTTTGAGATTTGCCCCATGGTAAGTATGTAAATCTTTAGAATTAGAAGCAAAAAAAAAAAAAAAAAAAAAAAAAAAATCCCGTCTGGGCCATAGCAGTGAGTCCGTGCTCATGAAGACACAGGCGTGGTATTTCTGCAGTCATTATGCTAACCCTGCGTTCACCTCGAGAGTTCACGTGCTCCTCTGGGAAGATTTGCAGTTAATAGCCCAGAGCATTGAAGTTATAATTTAATTATAGTATTTTGGTTAAATCCTCGATACTGATTAACTTCGCTTTTTTTGCTTCTTGTGTAACATTTCCCTTTGAATATACTTGGTTTCAGATCTATTATGGTTAAGGAAAAAAAATGTAGAATTAATCTGCTCAACAAAAATGTTCACTGAATGGATCTGCCTCAGTGGGTAGAGGCAGAAATCAATTGCTGAACAGCAATCAGAGGGGCCGACTCTCCATCTTGGATTAGCATGCACTAGAATGCTCTGTCGCCTGAAAACAGACTCCTTCGTTTTAAGGTTTTGCTGAAGTGGATGCTAACAAGAGAGAGCTTGTTACACATTATAAAGGGCAGTGTGTTTGGCACGGTCTGGGAATACTAATTCTATTAGGAGTTCCAAAGTACAATTATATTTTGAAATTATGGGGCTTTGGATAAAGGCACTCATACATATTTTATGTGATAGTGTGGCCAGTTATCTTTTTCTCGGAATAAAGCATGATCAAAATTGGGTAGTTTTCTTGTGACCAATTTATGAAGAACAGTCTTGCGGGCTTTCATCTAAGTGCACGGTGGCTGAATACATCAGAAAACCATTCTCAATTTTGAGACATTCTTAGCAGCTTTTATCTTTGGTTAGCCATCAGCCCCCACACACTACCCCTCCCTGCATTCATCCATGGAGATTCCTGGCAGATGCTCACTCTCATTATGAGCAAAGGGTGTTCACGGGGATATTACCGCCAGCGAAGGCCTTCGGAAGACTTCCGTACTAATTATGAAAATGACAAGCACTTTACAGTTTCTGTATGTTAACTAATGTGCTTCCAAACCACACCTGTGCTCAGGAGCGGCTGCCGTGACCCCTGCTGGGCGGCGGGGGGGGGAGCGGCGGGGGGGGGCGCCCTTCCACCCCTTGCCTGGTGTGGTGCCAGCTCCTGTTGCTGCCCACGCACAGCTGCTGGTGCTGGTGCGTGGCGACATTTTGCTCCCTGGGAAGTGGCTGCTTTTTCATTTGAATGCTTCTATTCTCAATCATCTCTTTGGGAGCTTTTGAAACTGAGAGTTTTTAATACACACTGAGAATTTGGGAATAGACCATAATGAGCAGAAGTAGGTTTGGAAAAATGAAATTAACTTAATATAAATATTAACTTCTTGTCACAAGACCAAGAACAAGGCCAAGTTCTTCCTCAAGTACAAAGCCGCATCTTTCGCGTTAGTGCAGATGTTTTACTAGCGAACACATTGAAGCGTCCTTCTCTCTCAGTGGCGTAGCTATGAATAAAAAAGCCTTTGCTTTTACTCCGGGTGTAGGGGTCAGGCTCCTTCGGAAGCTGAGCTGAATTACTTGAGGACTGCCAAATCCCTGGAGATGTATGGTGTTGACCTCCATCCGGTCTATGTGAGTAACATTTAATTAACACGAAATATTTTAAGCTGATGACATTTTTGTTAAAAAGTCAGAGAAGCTCCCTAGGGAAGGTGCCGTCCTCTTGTTTACCAAGCAGATGATAACTTCTCCTGCTTTTCAAACTCAAAGCAGTTCTTACGTGGATTAAACCCTAATGAATTTTGCATAGAAATCTGTGATTATATTTCCACGTGTAGAAAACAATTAACTGGGCTTGCAAACACAATCTGGATAAGAGTTCCAAAGGGCTTAGCTAAATGTCAAAACAGTTTAACATCAGTCTATCATGACATTGATAATATTAGACAGAAAACGAGAGAGTTTTCTACAAATAGATTTTTATGGCAGAAAAAAAAAAATGAAGTTCTGTGCCAGGTAAAGTAGGCATTGGGCAACAGTCCTGGTGTGGTGGCTGGTGGATCTAGATTGAATGCACAGTGTTCTGTCACCAGGAGAGTAATTGATTGCATGGATAGAGATATTTCTGCCAGTTTTCTTCAGTGGCTATGGACACCTGCTGGCCGTGGTCAGCGAGCATCATTGGATCCACATCAGTGTTTTAAAGCCGGGCACTACCCTCACAGACATTTCTCTTGGACTATCACTTTCGTATTTTCACTCCTTCACTATAATATATTCATTTTATAGCATGTCTTTAGCTCATTAGTGTCTTCTGAGTCAGTCAGTCGGTCTTTCAGGGTCTTGCTGTGTAGACCCTGGCTCAGACTCCTCTTGTCTGACTGTGGAGTGCTGGGATTCCAGGCACCTGCCGTGGTTCCTGGTCCATATTACTCTTAACTGTTAGAAGCATCCGTGAGCACACATTTAGTGTGATAATGGGAAGGTACAGACTCAGAGGATCCAAAAGTTCCCTGATATTAGATGCCAGTCTCATTAGAGAATGAAACGCTGCTGACTTTAAGAACACCTCTAAGATCTGGGTAGCACAGTCCTGTAATGGCAGGATCCACTGTGATCCCAGGTGGAGGCCAGACAGTCTCACATTCGAGACCAGCCTGATCACGTAGTAAGAAATGAAAGGAGGAAGGTAGTATTAAAACTCCATGAAGTCATTATCTTCTCCTCTGCTGGCCTCTTGGTAGGTTTGGGGCGTGTTTAAAAAAGCGGTAGTGCACACCTTTAATCCCAGCACTGATGAGGCAGAGCCAGGCAGATCTCTGTGAGTTCGAGGCCAGCCTGGTCTACAGAGCGAGATCCAGGACAGCCACCAAAATTATGCAGAGAAACCCTGTCTCAAAAAACCCAAAACAAAACAAAACAAAACAAACCTCACAACAGCCCCTAGGAAATGTGTAGAGGCTTCTGCCAAGTGCTTTGAATTCTGTAATGCTTATCTTACTTAATTCCTAACCAAGTTTCCTGGTTTGGGAGGTGGTGGGAAGGATCTATGGGAAACGACCGAGATCTGTTAGGTCTTCCATCCCTTGAGGACGGTTTCTAGAGGCGAAGGTTGGCTATGACTGGGGTTTTCCAGAGCAGCTGCGTGGTCTGTTTGCGGGCTGTTTAGTGAACGGCTCTGTGCATGTTCTTGGTACCCACCCGGCCCGTGGCTCTGTCATTTCAGAGTCCTGTTTTCTTATTTGAGATTTGTCTCTGCCTGGAAATGGACTGTCTCCAGGATTTATGAGAAGGGATCGTGCTTCTCAATTTTTGAGCAGTCTTAAAGTTCCAAGTGTAGGTAGGAAGGACCATGGTAGACCTCAGGAAATGGAAGCCTCTGTGTGCAGGCAGCTGCCTAAAATTCCTCATGAGGCTTGTGGTACTGGCAGTTTACCAGGCCCAGTTTTATCCACATCAGAGAGCAAAACCAAGACAAACCATCTGGAAGCACCTTTGGTTAGAAGCCAGTGGGTCTCAGGTTGTGGCTCAGAATTGTTGGAAGCCACTGTGTGTTTTGACACCCTGCCTGTCACTGCAGATTCTGAGGTCACCGATTTAGTGGCTCCTCCTCGTCAGCATTTTAAGCTGCGTGATTCTCCTGGGCATAAGCACCACTCACTGCGTAAGCAGCATCAGACTGATTGTCCTTGCATTGTGGTGATATATTGTGTCCCCCAATATATTGTGCATCCTAATAAACTTATCTGGGTTCAGAGAACAGAACAGCCACTAGATAGATATACAGGCCAGAAAATGGTGGCACACACGCCTTTAATCCTATCACTTGGGAGACAGGGATCCATCCAGATCTCTGAGTTTAAAGCCACACTGGGAACAGCCAGGCATGGTGACTCATGCCTTTAATCCCAGGAAGTGATGGCAGGAAGCAGAAAGGTATATAAGGCATGAAAACCAGGAACTAGAGCTGGTTAAGCTTTTAGGCTTTTGAGCAGCACAGTTCAGCTGAGAGGCATCCAGTCTGAGGAACTGGCAAGGTGAGGAAGCTGTGGCTTGTTCTGCTTCTCTGATCTTCCAGCATTTACCCCAATACCTGGCTCCAGGTTTGTTCTCATTAATAGGACCTTTTAAGATTCGTGCTACATCCCATGCCTCTTGGTGAACTGAAATCACAGGTGTAGATTGATGTTAAGATCGGGAGGGGAAAGAGCATCCACTTAGTTACTGTTACACTTTAGGTAGTTTTTTGTTTGTTTGTTTGATGTCTTTCAAAACCTAAATCCAATATTAACTATATTTTAATTATTTTATTATATAATTACTGTTAATTATATAACCATTCTAGCAAATTATGTTTGTATGGCCAATTATAGTTTTACCAGGAACTTCTTTAGGAATAAGTTAATGGTCCTGGGAATATATGTGTTTGCTTATTTTTCTTTTTTTTCAGGGAGAAAATAAGTCTGAGTATTTCTTAGGACTAACTCCAGTGGGTGTCGTTGTCTATAAGAATAAAAAGCAAGTGGGGAAGTATTTCTGGTAAGTATAACGGGGGTGGGGGGGGGTGGGGGGGGTGGGGGTGGGCAGAGTTAGGATTAACGCGGTGTACTGTATACATCGGGGCTTGGGGCCTTGTGTGCCAGCGGGTCTCGGGGAAAAACATGTATCTTTAAGAAGTGAGTAGTAAGTGGATAAAAGTGCTTGTGAGTTTGTGTATCTTCTTTGTCCTGTTCAGTCCTGGCTGTTCTGGGCTCTCTTGTCCATGGAAACTGTAGAGCAGGCTATCCCAGCCATGTCCCTGTGTGCTGGTGGCCCGTGGATCCAAGACTTTCTGGAGTTTTAGCTCTAACTGGGGAAGGAATGGAGGGATTGGGGAACTATGGCCCTGTGTGTGTGTGTGTGTGTGTGTGTGTGTGTGTGTGTGTGTGTGTGTGTGTGTGTGTGTGTGTAAGGTGGTACCCTCAGGGCATGGGCGTTCCAAGTCTGTTTGTCTCTTAGTGGAGAAGCCTCCGGAGGCTGTCCAGAGCAGAGGGCATACAGGGATGCTCTGGAGTATCCTCGACAGGACCTAAAAGAGCCCGCGTTTCTCAGTCTTTTCCTGCCGGGTACCCCTCTGCATTTTTTTTTTTTTTTTTTTGGTTTTTTCGAGACAGGGTTTCTCTGTGTAGCTTTGCGCCTTTCCTGGAGCTCACTTGGTAGACCAGGCTGGCCTCGAACTCACAGAGATCCGCCTGGCTCTGCCTCCCAAGTGCTGGGATTAAAGGCGTGCGCCACCACCGCCCGGCTCCCCTCTGCATTTTGAACAACGAAGTTCTGAAAAGAGCAAGCATAGCCTTACCTGCCTTGTTTTTCAGGCCCCGGATTACAAAGGTGCACTTCAAGGAAACCCAGTTCGAGCTCAGAGTCCTGGGAAAAGATGTAAGTTTTTGTGAGCATCTAGCTCTCCTGTGAGGGAGAGGGTCTCACCTGCTCATGAGGGATGTGGAAGGCCTTGGTGAGGTGAAGCTACCACGCTTTCTTCAGCCGCAGCAGTGCAGAGCCGGGTTAATTATGTCACACAGGCGTTTCTTGTGGGAGAGAAAGGGAAATGGGCATGGGGAAAATGGCATTTTAGTTTTGGCAAAAGAAAGCAGAACCTTCCTAGGTAGAGGAGAGACTTCGGTGGTCTGTATTATCTCCGTGGGTTTAAGTTGCTTTTCCGTCCTGCCTGTGAAGGTGGAGTTCATCTCCTCTGGAAGGTGTAGGCTGTGTGGCACCACAGAAATGTATCTTCTAAAGTAAACACGACAACCCGATGGGTACCACGCATCTGTTCTTGCTGAGCATGATACTCAAGCTGGATGGAAATTCTGGACGCTTTCAGTGGAGACCGGAAGTCAAGGGTGGGCCCTGCGGACCTCGTGGCACCCTGGCAGGGTTTCGGCAGTGGGCACAGTGTCTGTGTCTGGCTGTGCTTTCGCCCCTTCACAGGTAGCTCTCGGAAGCTGGTCAAAGATGACAAAGGCGTGAAAGATTCCTTTTGATCTGTCTGTGAAGATCCTGCTGCCTTTTTGTGCTGTTAGGGCAACCCATGCAGGATAAATGGGTGAAAAGGCGACGCAGGAGAAATCCATTCCTCTGTGTCCTCCTCCTCCTCCTTCTTCTTCTGGGTTTTTTTTTTTTTTTTTTTTTTTTGAGACAGTTTCTCTGTGTAGCTTTGGCACCTTTCCTGGAACTCACTCTGTAGCCTAGGCTTACCTCAAACTTACAGAGATCCGCCTGCCTCTGCCTCCCCAGTGCTGGGATTAAAGGCGTGCGCCACCACCGCCCGGCCCTCTGTGTCTTCTTAACTTCACACAGAGTCAAGCCAAGGAGGGACTTGAGCTGACTTCATTGACTCTTTTCATAAATCTTGTTTTCTTATTTAGCCTCTTACTTGCTCTCTAGCTCAGGGTAGACGTGAACTCACAGCAGTCCTCCTGCCTCAGCCTCCCAAGTGCTGGGATTGTAGGTGTGTGCTGCCACAGCAAGCTTTGAATTGACCTTTTTTGGGGGGGTGCTAAAAAGATTTTAGGAATAAACTGGTACTTTTATGACCACACGTGGAACTGTCTGCCCAGTGCAGCAGCCCCAAGGGTTGGGGACATGGCATTTAGCAGAGGGTCTCACTTGTGGAGACTCCTCTGTAATATCTGTCTATGAAGTGGCCAATGAACTGATTTTTGAGGTATACTGCAAAGACTCAAACTCTGATACCATACTTTTTCCTCTAGGGAGAAAAAAAATGGCTGTTATTATTGATGAAGTTAATAACGGGTTTTGAGGTGAACCTGAACTCAAGAGGATGAGAGATTGTAGACTTTTCAGACAGTGGTAGTCCCAAAGTCACATACAAACTCTTAATTGTATAGTTTTTTGGGGTGGTGGAAATTTATTTTGCTTTTCAACTTCTAATTAGATATGTCAGTCTTTAAGAGATTCGCTAATGTGTAAGTAGATCTGAGAAGTAGGGAAGCTAGTTAGGCGAATCTTGTCATTTTCTCCCTGTCTTGACACGGGTTCCCATGACTTCATGCAAAAAATCCCATCTACCAAATGCATTCAAAATAATGCTTGGCAGGGGCCGCTGCCTTGGGGCTAGGCCTCCCGTGGAACAATTCCTGTTATCCAGAACATCCTTCCCCTTAGGCCTAAATTACTTTTGTGAGTTCCTTTTTCTTTTTTAAAGCTATGTGTATGTTATCACTGCAGTGCTTTAACATTTCTCGTGTTGTCTCGGAAGAAGAAATTGGTGAGGTCGCCAGTACCCTGAGCTTCCAGCTTCTCAGCCGCCTTCATTACCAGCCTGAACTAAGGCAGCAAGGTTGAAGTCATTGTGCTTCTCCCCAGTGGTGGTCTCTGTGATGCCATCTCCAGATGCCGGCTTGTCCCCTCCTAGCTTTGAGAGAGAGTGGATGTTGGGAGGACCCTGAGTCATTTCGTGCCCACTCTCCTGGGTCCTTAAAGGCTACAGATGTTGGTGACCTTTACATAAGGTGCCAAAGCTGGTCAGTTACGACAGCTCCTTTTATGTGTAGAGCCCAGGCTGGCTCTAACCTTGAATTCCTGATTGTGCTCCTCTACTTCCCAAGTGATGGGATTGCGGACTTGCGACACCGTGCCTCCTCCTAAATTTGTTATTAAATAGGCACATTAATTTAACCCAAACATTCTATTTCCTGGTTGTTCTTGCTTGCAGGCCTTTTTTTTCCCTTTCCCCTCTCTCCATCAGGGTTCCTGTCTGTGAAGCAGTGATTTGCATAATGGTAGAATTAAGTTGATTAGTATAGAGGCCTAACTGTAATCACAGATTGAATTAAAAAGCCCCTGAAAACCCGTCACCTGGAACAGTAATCTCATTCAGCTTGACAAATGGCTGGAGCGCTTACTTAGTCTGCTGGTGTTCTGGTCGACTGGTCTGGTTAAACCAGGAGACTTATCTCCATGCGCTTAGTGCTTCGAGACTAAGTTCAGAGACACCCCCATGCATTATATACACTTCAGAGTGCACTGTGGTTTAAATTGCACCTCACAGGAAATAGGAACTCTGAATAAAGGTTTCACATAATAATGGTAGAAGATATGGAAAATACAATGCAAAGAAGAAAATCGGTGTTTCCTGTGACCCTAAAATTTAGAGGTAATGATTGCTAACATCTTGGTTATGATTGCTTATAGACTCTTTTTGCCTCATTAGTATAAATGGATTATGTGTTTATATAGAGATGTTATCTTTGTATGGTTGTGTATATCCTTTCTTGATTTTGAGATAGTCTTACTCTGTCGGCCATTTGGCCTTGGAATCATGAGTTTTCTTGCCTCTGCCTCCAAAATGCTGGAATTATAAGCAAGGCACTATGCTCAGCGTGTGTATGCTTTTGTACTTAATATTGTATCATAAAGATTTCCCTTCTTGGTATATTTGCATATATGTGCCTGTTTGGAGTCTTGTAAGTTCTATTTTTTATGTGTTTTGCTGTTTCTTTTTTTATTAAATATTTTATTTTATAATTAATTAAATTTTACATATCAGCCATGGATTCCACTGTCCTCCTCTCTCCTCCCACCTGCCTGTTTTGCTGTTTCTTTCTGATATTTCAAATGTACACTTTTTTTTTTTATTCCGCCAAGATGGGGTCTCTCTGTGTAGCCCTAGCTGTCCTGGAACTTGCTCTGTAGATCAGGCTGGCCTCGAACTCACAGAGATCCCACAGAGATCCGCTGCCTCTGCCTCCCCAGTGCTGGGATTAAAGGTGTGTACCACCACGCCTGGCATGCTTTCTTTCTGTTTTCTGAGTGGTTTTGTTTGTTTTGTGTTTTGTTTTTAATTGCATGTATTTGTGTATGGTTGGGTGTGGTATGTGCACACGTGAGTGCAGGTGTCGGTGAAGTACAGAAGAGGGCATTGGGTCTCAGTAGAGCTGGAGTTAACAGGAGGTGTGAGCTGCCTGACATGGGTGCTGAGAAGTGAACTCAAGGCATCGCTAAACCACCTCTGGCTTTCCCCAGCTTGGTGGTGTTTTGTTTTGTTTTGTTTTAAGGAAAGTTCCCAATCTGTAGCTCAGGCTAGCTTCAGATTCCTAGCAATCCTTCTACCTCAGCTTCTAAGTACTGGGGTTACAGGATGAGCCCCCTCCCCCACCCAACAGCCCGTGAGTTCTTAATAGAATTCTCATAAATTTTATAGCTGTCTAGCGATACATATTTTTAATGAAGATCGCTCATCTGCTCCTGTTACTCCTGCTTTCCACTCGGCAGTGTTGGTCTGAACGTCTGTAAGTGTCGGCTGGTCTGGCAGTGTGAGGCCTCCTTGAGGCTGAGAGCCCTTGTGCCTCTGATCCTCCATCATCAGTGAAGCAGAAGATGACAGTGCTTCTCTCTCAGCTGAATGACTGAGAGGTTCTAATTCCACACTTAGCCACCAGGGTATTTGGGATGTGGGGAGAAAGAGTCCCAGGTACTTAACAGGGCGTTAACAAGTTTGTCTTGAGGGGAAACAAGTTTGTCTTGAGGGAAAGATGGAGCCATCCTCAGACAGGCAAGGGGAGGCTCTCGGGGTAGCACCTGTGTGTGGGAGGCCCAGGAACCCTCCGGTGAATGCACAGAGTTTAAGACTTCTTTCAGGCACCTAAGTAGAGATATTGAATAAGAAGTACACTGTATGAGTTTAGACTTCAGGATCAGAATCAGCATAATATATGAATGTGAGAATCATTAGCCTAACCTGGAATACTAATTTTGATAAAAATTGGGGGAGAATTTGGAATCAAGTTTCTCAGCTCTGGCAACAGTAAGAGGGTGTGCAAACCACAAAACCAAACCTGTAACCTGGTGTGTAAGAAGCATGTTTGGAAGTGATACTGGGAGTACTTTTATGAACAGTGCATCCGGATACCAAACTCACCTAAGCTTAGTGTCACAGGATGTAAGACAGAAAGGTTCCTGGACCGACTGGCAGAAGCTGGGAGAGCTTTGGGGAACATACCCAGGAACTGATGGTGGCCACGGGTGGCTGGTCCCTGTTGGTCAACCCAGGACGATGGTTAACACACAGGGGGGTTCTTGCACATAATGGATGTATATCACTACTGCAGAATTACTGTAAATGCTCTTATTTTGTGGCTTGACCTGATAATACCCTCCATGCTCCACGGCTCTCCTGTGTCATAGACTGGCTTCAGTCTGGACTTTTCTGTAACAGCGTTCCTTTATCTTTCATGACATGGACGTTTCAAACCCAACCTTACCCTGCTGTAGTCAAGTGAAACTCTCCCTTCCATGCTTTTCTGATGGTTTGTGGTTAGAGTGTATCATGCATTCCCAGCTCCGTCGTCACATTGGTGAGGGTGTGTCTATTTCAGTGTGCCACATCTGGAGGCACACAGTGACCGTCTGCTGGC